TGTCTCTATGTAAAGTACCCTTTGTTTATTATACCCAGGTACTAACTTGGATTTTGCCTGTGGAATGTATCGTACCCAGGGTACTATAGTCTGTGCTGTACGGTATATTAACTCAGATAACTAATATACTTATAAAGTAATAATGATAATTAATTTTAGAATGATATATAAGTGAAGAATTTTTTGTTTTATAATTTTGTAGATTGTTACTATTGAACTATGAACAAAGAAAAAATAAAAAATTAATCTATAATCAAAATGATCATTGATTAGACAAGGTACAATGAATAATAAAAAAAATATTATGAATTTACCTTGAACTTTATTGCAATTGAAATTATCTGCTTCAACTATACTATCAACTAATTCTTCTTGAGCTTTATTGCAATCAAAATCATCTACTTCAAATATCTTAACTATGCCATTATAATTATCTCAAACAGCACAATCAACTATATCAACACAATTAACAAATTTAAACAACTCATTGCAGTCCATTTCTTTAACTAAAAAAAAAAGCTGATATAGCAATTTCTGACTTTCTTATAACTAGTACTAGCAATAAGTTTAGCAAACTATCATCTATAAGATTTGTAAGTTTGATTTTATTTTATTTGTTATTTTTTTTTCTTAAAAAAAAATACTTAAAAATATAATGATTTTTTTATAATTTAGCCCCAAGTCATTGTTGACTCTTCATCTTCCACTATTCAATATAATGAAAATCTAGATTAATTTTTTTTTTGTGGTATTAAGGTGAGGCCTTGCTCATATCTTTATTAATAGTTTTATCATAGTAACTACAAAAAGTTGCTAACTTTAATATATAAAATATAAAAAGTAAAAACTATATGCAAAAATAAAAGCTCAAACTACTTTATCTATAATTTAAACCTACTAGAGTAGTCAAAGACTCACCTAGAATTTTTTAAGAAAAAATAAATGTAGAGTAAATAGAGTATTTAATTGAATGAATTTAAAGGTAAGGCTAAAATTATAAGATTTGTGTATTTAATAGTATAAAGTTATAAGATATAATGAAAAGTACTAGACTATATTTAGTATATAAAATTATAAAGTATATGAAAGATGATAGAATATATAAGGGTATGTAGTCAAAGTATTAAAGTATAAAATATAAAGTAAGTTTTAAATTAGAAAAAAACTTTCATCAATGTTAGGAATTATAAATTTCGTAGTAGATTAATTAGAGTAATGTTGTTGTTGTTTGTTAATTTTGAAAGTTTTAGATTTTGTAGTAGAACGTTGTTGTTGTTGTTGTAATTGTTGTTGTTTTTGTTGTTGTTGTTGTTGTTGTTGTTGTTGAGTATTAGAATTTGTAATTATAAAATCAGTATACAATATATTAGAAACAGAGATCTTGAACTTTTTGATTATATATTGATTTGCTTGATTAAAGTAAGATTTCTTAAAATTTCTTTTAAAGTTGGAAATAGTTGGTTTAGAGATTTGGGTAATATCATAGTAGGCAATAATTCTGGCTAAGATTCATGAATTTGTAGATATTAAAAATATTTTGTTAAGTGCTTTCTTAAGATTGAGATTAGTAATTTGGTTATTGGTTGTAGCCATTTTTAAATATGCTTTAAAGTAATTGTAGAAAAAGAAAGAGATCTGTTTAGAGCTTTAAGTTGTAGCATTTGATTTAGAAAGTTTTGACTTATTGGATTCAATAAGTTTTTGGTTAAGTGTAATAAATTTTGTTCTGCTTGATTGGCAAGCTTGTAGAGATTTTTAAAAGGAAAAGTATTGAAAAATATAGTGGTATAAGGATAGTTGAATGAAAAGATAGAGCTATCAATAGTTGAATAAATATATTTAAAAACAGGTAAAGTTTGAAAAGAGTGTTTAAAGAAGTGAATAGTTAAGTTGCGAAGATTGTGTATAGTATTTGATATAAGAATTGTACATTTTGTAGAATCTATACATATATATATATAGTGTAATGCAGTTTTGATAGTGATATTTGTACAATTATAAATAGATAAAATAGTTGAAGGATAGATTTCTTTAGGGACGAGTTTTCTGTATTTGTTGTTTATTGTTGTCACTATTTGAAATTTGATATAGTTGTAGACTTTTTGTTCATTAATAGTGTTGAATTAAATTTTGTAATATTTAAAAAATTTTTGAAACCACTTATTAAATTCTGTTGAAAATAAAGAAAAGTAAAAAATACAGTAAGTTGATAAAAATTTTTGTACAGGTATGTTTATAGAGATATTAATATAAAATTTAAAGATATTGTAAATTTGTAATATAGATATATTTAAATCTGTATCTTGGGTTTGGTTAATATATAAAAAAGTTTGTAAATAAATTGGTTTAAATTTTAAAAAAAATGCGTTTGTCACTGGCAGTGACAGTCACCAGATCATGATCAACCAATACGTTATAATCAAAACAAAAATAATATATCAAAATTTACTATCATTAGGATTGGGTTAGAGCTTTAGTTAAGGTCCGAGTAGAGTATAGCATAAGTAAAATTTTGCAAAGAATTTTTTTTGTTAGAATGCAAAATGTGGTTTCATAGATGAAATTTCAAGAAAATGGTGATTTTTTAAAAAAATCAAAGTTTTTACATTTTTCATATTATACATGATCCTGTGATCTAATTAGTCGATTACACTCTGGTACTGTTACCACCAGCAACAAATAGATTTGCTCTAAGTTTTAAATCTTAAAAAAATTTTTAATGATCAATAGTTTGGTATTGATTAGTGAGAAAAAGGTGAAGTTTGGCCAAATCAATAATAATTTGAAATCATTTTTTGATAGAATAAGAAGGAATAAAAAGATAAGAGTTAAATATTTATTCAGAAACAACCTGGTAAATAACAACAAATTTGTGAACTTATTCAAGCTTCTTAAGGTTCTCGAAAGACTTAAGACATTTAAAAAGAAGCTACTCAACTTCAACAAATCTTTAGTATTCAACTAAAAGAATTGTTGTATCAGACCTGATACTTTATTATAACTCATGTTGTCAAGTTTACTGATAAAGAGTATCAGTCTTTAATTAAGAATTTGCAAAGCAAATTTTTATAAGAGAACAGAAATATTATAGAACAGTTTATTATTTTATTAGTTTATTATTT